ACTATAAAATTCTTAGGTTTCAGTCCAGGTTATCTAAAGGGTGCTGCATAGGGTTCCAGAATACTCCCTGGGTACCCCGACTGAGCACACTGTGGCAGCTGTCGAGGCTCTCTAGACTGAAGTATTCTTTCAGAGTGCTCAGCAGGTGGGGTGTGGCCTTGCCAGCTTTGCTCTGCACAGGTAGCGCCCTTCCATTTGCCTTCAGAGAGGATCTGGAGAATGGCATTCCTGGGGCTGGCAGCGATAGCATTTGGGAGGATTTAGAGATGGGGTCAGAACGGGCTGTGCCAGATCAGCAGCATTCCTGGGAGGCAGGATCAGAATGAAGCTCACAAGCATCTGCTGAGGCAGGGGTGGGGGTCGAATTTTTAGCTTCTGGGGCTGGAGTAGGTTCCCTGGGGACTAAAGCCACCCATTTTTTGATGGAGGTTGGGCGTGAGCCATGAGAAGCCATGTACCTAGTCTGAGTAGGAATTGGATTTATTTCAAGGCTTGGGAGGGATTTGTTTAAACAGTTTCTGGTGTAGTTCTTTTTGCTGTGTTAAGGTTGGCGTTGCATTGATGGGGGTGTGGCAACTGTCCTGCCACTGTTCGTCATTTGTGACTAGTTGAGAATCTTACAGAGTACAGGGCTCCAAATCATATTCAGATGTGGCCTACAAAACTATGGAGATTGTATCTCAGGAAAATGCCCACCTTTAATTTTGGTGTACAGCGGCAAATTGGTTTAGCAGTAGATGGTTGTGTTTGAGTGTAAGCACCCACAGTGGAACAAGAGGGACCTAGGGGAGAGGAGCAAGCCCCGAGAGATTCGTGCCAAGCAGGTGACTGCTGTGGGCAGCTGGCTGAGAGACAGTGTAGAAGGTGCCTCTTGGGGTCTTTCCAATACTCAGGAGTGAGGAGCTGGTGCCAGGGTGCTAACCCCTTCAGTGACTCCAGCATGCCCTGAAGAAGGCTGCTAGACACCAAATTGGTGGACAGTGGATGTGGATTCTGCAGTGGTTACCTGTCCTCATGTGAGTGACAAAGTGTCACCCTTAGAGCAACACATTAAATTCTTCACAGTTTCTGAGGGTGGGGAGTTGAGTGTGGATGTGGTATCACCTGGTCCTCTGCCTCCAGGTCTCATGTGAAGCCTCCACCGGGGAATGGTCTGCCTTTATACACACGTGGTTGTTGGCAGAACTAATTCCCTCTCGGGCTTTTGGACTAAGTGCTTCTAGCTGGTGAGGATGGTGTTGCCCTCAGTTTTCCACCATACAGGCCTTCCCAAAATGTTTACCTCACAAAAGCATACACGCTAGGAAGGCAACCAAAAGACTCTTTAGTCACAGGAGAAGACTCTTATGACTGGAACCACAGGTCATAGGTATCTGGACTGGTTTGTATTTTGTCAACTTGACACAAGCTAGAGTCATTTTGGAAGAGGGATCCTCAGTTGAAAAAATACCTCTACCAGATTGGCCTATGGGCCATTTTATTGATTGAGTGATGTGGGAGGGCCCGGCTCACTGGCAGTGGTGCCACAAGTGGTCCTGAGTGGTATAAGAAAGGCTGAGCATGCCATGATGAGCAAGCAGGTAAGCAGTACTCCTCCATGGCCTTTGCACTGAGTTCCTGCCTTCAGGTTCCTACCTTGAGTTCCTGCCCTGACTTCCCTGGATGATGGACTACAAGCTGTAAGATGAAATAAACCTTTTCCTCCCCAAGCTGCTTTTGGTCATGGTGTTTTATTACAGCAGTAGAAACTCTAAAATGGCATCCCACCACCTTAGCTGAAGAGGTGGGTCAGAGGCAAATCAGTCCCACCAGCAACTCAGGGATGAATCCCAGGAGGATAGCGATCCTTGAGGCCATCTTAGAAGCTCCATGACAAAGTGCGGTGTGCCTGCTGCACGGCTGTCTCCTCTCCCTACAGCGACTGCTGACGGGCATTAAAAGGACTTGGAGTCGAGAAATCATCTTAATGCAAATCTGTCAGAAAATCAAGCTTTAAAGTGCATCTGGCCTCTAGGGGTCACCCAGCTGCGGTGTCCAGGTCTGACCTAGGGTGTCCAGAGCTCTTCTGTCCCTGGTCAAAGAGGGCCAGGCATGTTGGGCTTTCAGGGTGCTTCTGGGACAGCTGGCACCAACAACATTTCTACATTTCTACCAACAACAATTCTACTTTAGAACTGAGTGAAAATGCCCGCAATACCAGTGGAGATTTCACAGGCTGCTAATGTAGAATTGGGGCAATTCCTGCTTCCTGTCAGACATTTGAGTGAGTCCTGAAGCCTTAGGAGAAGAGGGACACATTTGATTTTTTT